AATGAGACACGGACCGCAAAGCATCTGCACCGTAGAGATTCCGGTAATGATCAGAACATCGATACCATTTGCTTGAAGTAGTCTAGATATGACAGATCCACGGAGCTGACGAAACCTTTCATGCAGTCTACGATGTTGAAACTCGAAACCTAAAAACCAAACGTCATCATCATTTAACTGTCTGTTCTTGCCGGCTGCCATCAGCGGGGCCATCCAAGACACAGTAAGAAATTGCCAGAGTCGTAGATTGTCCTCTGGGCTGCGAAAATTGCTTGATGGTGATTGACCCACGACGCCAATATCAATGCGGGGAAGTGAAGGTCCCCGAAATGGCATAAATAAGATAGTTGCGCAGGCCGCAGCAGCAGCACTAGCAGCAATGTAATGAGCATAAACCCTCGACACTGCATAAGCGTCATGGTTTAGTACGACCGCCGATTCCACAGTCAGTTCTACAGCAAAGAAGGACAGCATGGAGACTGGACAGGACCTTGGGCGTTCTATGGCGATCAGAACAATTGCAGCCGCCTAAATCATCAGTTAGTGTATGTTAAGCGAAAGAATAACCGTGACTTACCCAAGATACCAGGAGCATGATATTGCTCAGTGTGGGCGCGTATGGCACGAATTTTGTGAGCTCAGCAGCGAATCCAACTGTGGAGAAGACAAGTAGGGTAATCACCCATCCCGTTCTTGGTCTTGGTCTCTCTGATGGTAGCTCAGCACATGGTGGCTGTTCAGCAACAAAAGGCCGCATCCATTTCGGATAAGGAACCAAAGAGGAACGAGTGAGCGCATGACTCGATCCAATAATCAAGACTATGATACCCGGAATGATCGAGACATATTGCATGGCACATGCAGACAACCGGGCATTGGCCGAGTCCTGCGAGAGAGTTAGCAAGGGCGAAGGTTTAACAATCGATGGTGAATATGTACCCAAACTGAAGGGCAAGAATAAAGAGCATCATTTTCTTTATTCAGAAGCATCTGGATGGCGTTAGTTGATCAGTCAGATTGTCGTCCATCCGAGAGATGAATTGAGTTTCCAACAATGACAATCCCCGCCTTCGGACGGAAGCGGTAATGAAAGTGCCTGGGGCACGGACCGGGGTATCGCTGAATGCCTCAGGCTCCCGTGGGCCATTGCGGTGAAAATGATTGATTTCTTAAATTAATTAATCTATATAGAATCCAGGATTGAGGCGCTAAAAAGCTCAGATACATAGAAAAAGTTAATCTTGAATTTACTATAATCTAATGAAAATTTTTAATCAATCAGTTTTTCTTTTCCTTTCTTAATGACGACTTATTTATATGAAAGAATCTCGATAGTAAACTTATTATAGAAAAATACATTCATGATTTCAAGCTCACAGCAACAGGATCAGGGAAGCCGATAAGCGTAAATAATTTTCTGGCGTAGTCGTAGGGTTTCTAAATTTTGAGTGTAAACACGGCCACAACTTACAAGGAATGACCGCGCTCTACCTTCTATTCCGGTACTAATATTGGGGCACAGGATCATGTGATGACTTACGTCGCCAGCTTTCGCTGCAAATTCGGCGAATGGTTTAGAAGACAAGATGAATGCAATAAATTGCCTTGGGGGAAGGGGACTTACCAGGGAGGAAGACCGGACTTCCTACCTAGTATACGTATACTAGACAGAGGATGTACTTTGATAGTAGACACATTTGAGACCCACTCCCATTTCCATCCCAAAACGGATGATCTGGGGAGTATCCCGAACGGCGTTAGCCCTTAGGGGATAATGTGGAGAATTGAAAATTCAAGTTACGGTAGACTCGCGTCCTATGCTCTCTTGTCTAAGCTAGCCTGCACTAAGCACAGGCTGTTGCACGTAGTGGACCACTGCATATCCGACGTTGTGTCTTTGAAGAGCTATATCAAGACTAAATTAGACTTCGGCTTCACTATCTAGGTAGAGTAGATATGACTAGACTTTGGTTCGATAGAAATACAGGGAAAATTACAGGCAGCCGCTTGGTTCTATGCAGGAATCTCCACAGTTGCCACGGGGGCTCCATCCTCTTCCCATAGGGCACATCTAGGCCGATATCTACGAGACGATGCCAGAGTAGCGCATCGAAAATCTGGGAGGACCCCTTCCACAGTTTTAGAAAACCTCCCATTTCAGTTAGCTTCTACCTAATGTTTCCTTATTGATAAAGTTATTCATTTATATTGGAAAGTTCCGAACTTGCTGACCTTGGCAAAAGCGTCCTATCAGGTTGTTAATAGACGAGGTCACTTCGGTACCAAGCCCACAACCGCCGCAATCATTCGATGTTTCTAGATAAAAGAATATAGTAATGCAATGCTCCGTTATGTCGGCCGGCACTACGACTGGGGTTTGTCTATGAGAGTACATTTCGGCAACACATGGTTATTAAGAGAAGAAGTAGGGGCACAGCTTAGTTCTTGATCTTGAAGCATGAATGGAATAGGAATATGAAACCTGCTCTCTTAAATTGCCTAGATGAGGAGAATATTCAAGCCGATAGTAGTCATAAGAGAACTTTGTAGGAGTTAACCGCTCAGTATCAATCGCATATGGGAGGTGCCAGAAAGTGATTGTGAATGATTCACCTAAGTCATAACCCTACTCCGTTTCATGCTAAATCCTCTAAAAAAGTCTTTTATTTATCTGAGAGATTTAGAGAAAGATGCCTAGGTTAGACCAGTCTTATCTTAAAACAGCCCACCACATGTTCACTACAAGCTCGTATCTCCTACTAAGCCTGATATGAACTCCCCAGGATATTCTCAATCCAGGACCAAACGATATTCCCTGAATAGACTTGTGGCCAGTTTGTTGTAGAGTGCTTGGGCTGGTAGATTATCATGCTGTGTTGTCTACCGTACACGAAGGCAGCCACTAGATCTCGCGATTTCAGCAACTGACTGGATTAAACAGCGTCCTAGACCTCTGTTGCGAACAGAAGCGTCGACAAATAAATCTTAACGTCCTGTTAGCTATATCATCTAATATTTTCCCGAGTTGAATAGCAATAGGCTGATTCCCATGATTTCAGGCACTAACAAAATGAAAGAGGTAGGGAATATCTGGAAGGTATATACTGACCATCGAGGAACATGATCTTCTCACTCCAAGTTGTTTGCTTAGGAAAGAAGTGAACAAACTCAACAACGGTGGTCTCGTCGCCCACTTCCCTCACAACCAAGCCCTGAAGTTCGTCATGCTTCTGAATGAGGCGTTCGAAAGTCTTTCTGTACTGCTCCTGGTCAAGCGAGGTTCTGTAAAAGTCAAGATACCTCTTGAATAAAATAGACCATTGATCAAAATCGGCGGTGGTCAATTCGGTAACTTTGTATTCTATGGCAGCAGCCATGGTGAGGATATGTAATCAGAATGGTTTAGAAAAGAGTTCGGAAGATGTGGGAATCGGACAGTGCAGGGAAGACACATACCAACCAGGAGTCAAAGTGCCCTGAAATATGTATCTGAACCCCGTGGGTCATACTCATACTCTCAACCCACACAGCCTGTCCCTCCCTATGACATAATGAAATCTCTCTTTTAGAAACGAATATTTCAGTCTAGTGGGTAGGCTCTTGGGCTCCGGGCTGCCGTTCTTGCGCACTATTTTTTATGCATGGCTTTCCTCTTTGTATGGACTGAGAGTTCTGATCTTATTGAGTGCGTACAGGGGATAGACCGTTGCTTCAAGGAGGGTGTATGGCTTCCTAGCTCATTCAGACCAAGTAAACTTCCTGTTAGAGTATTCGCTTCATTGATAATGTTTCCAACTCTCCTCTTAGGTTTTGACATACTGTAACAAGGGCTGTAAGGATCCAGTCCCCATCTCCTCCTTCAACCTACAACCGTATCCACTACACTGTGTTCATCCAACTTATTTTTTGCCAATGTAGAGAAATGGTGTAATTACAGCGGATTACGATGATTAGCCTTATTACTTTAGTGGCTATAAGTCGTTCTTGGACCGATCCCATTAATTACGGAATTTGGTGCGCAAATGCGATGCTAACTGTGGTTAGAGTGGCCTAACTTAACCTAGCCATACCATAGCCGGTTAGGTTAATAACAGTAGGTTAAGAGGAGTACATATATTGGAACTGGCTAAGGATTCCTCCTCGCGGAAATAATGTAAACTGAATAAAATTATCATTTCCTCAGAGTTGGTAGACTTGACCCTCTCGCAGCTATTAAAGCCAGGATTCTAGGATAGCTAGGATGTCTAAGTAGCTAACCAATCTATCAATTGTATGTATTATACAAGACTAATGTATGTCCTATTTATAGACACTTTTTATACCCTGCAACTTGTTGACCTGTATTGAATAATCTTCGGTGTCTACAGGATGGCTTTATTGTAGCAGTGTACACTATCGCCTCCCCTATTACAAGTATCTATCCTATAGCTCATATTTTACATTTTCATAGACCACAATATGTATAGAAGACCAGAATAAAATAGAGCGTGGGAGGCAGAAGGGTCCACATAGCAAGTTCAGCAGTTGTCACGACAGTTAGTTGCTATTGATCTCAGGAGTACCCACCGTCGCATAACGCGATCCTGAAGCGTTTAACTGGAAGGGGTAATTGGAGAACAAGTCAATCCGAGTCCATGTTTGGTCTTTGCAGGCATCTCATTACGAGTGAGTTACCGAATAATAGCTGTCCCAGGGCTTTTCTGAATGAGCTTAGCCCTAGGGCTCTAGAAAGAACACAAGGGTACGAATATTTGTGCCGTTTTTGTGTTCAGATGTGAGAGGTGAAGCCCCTTCTGCAGTAGGCATACTTGAGAAGCGAAGGATTAAGAACCGACAGACCGGTGTTAACATAATGGTATATTCATAAAGGCCAAAGTATCAACGGTAGTCTAGCACTGACTGAAGCCTAGTATCGACCTCCACTAGTAGTATATATACTGCCTCTCTCCATATTCCTCCCTAGTAAATATTCAGGAAATGTAACAGCATACTAGGAGTCGCTGTCGACTATGAATTGATGTACCCATGTTGGGACATGAAAGCAACGGTAGATCACGCATGAATCCTCCTCTATTTCCTCACACTACTCTGGTAAGCAAGAAGCTCCTCACGCAGTCGAGACAAGGCTTCTAGAACAGTTGCTTCGCGGATACGCTCACGAGTCCCGGGGAAATTGAAGGGACCCCAAGCTCGGCTGCCAGTGGGCGAGGCAATGCCGATGTAAACGGTGCCGACAGGCTTTCCATCTTGGGATGCAGGACCAGCAACTCCTGTTGTCCCGATTCCCCACGCTGTTAGGCTGCTGTCACAAGTTGTGGCTTTGCGAGCGCCTTCGGCCATTTGTGTTGCGACGTTGGGGTCGATTACGCCCATCGTAGCGATCAGGTCTTGATCCACGCCCAGGAGTTGGTGCTTGAGAGATGTTGCATATGACACGACTCCACCCCGGAATACTGCACTTGAGCCTGGAACAGAGGTGAGTGCTGCCATCACACCACCTGCGGTTAGGGATTCAGCGACTCCAAGTGTCTGCTCGGCCTGGACAAGCATCTGAATGACGTCGGCAGCTATGTCAAGGAGTGTCTCAGTGCTTCGCTGTGTGTACACTGGATCGGAAACCATTATGGGCTATATGATAAAGAGTCCAGAAGAATGATTTGGATGCCGGGATAATTTTGAAGGTGTTATTATGGAGAAGACCCGTCTCTTGATATACTACCACAAGAGCTTGGGACATGGGGGAATTTAACAGATACGGAATCAGTCAGTAATTTAGATGCCTGTAGAACTGCAGAGCCGCTTCAAACACGTAGATAGACAATAATAATAGAAGGCCACAGTGTTCTCTTCGTACAGATCCCAAGGCTGCACCTATTGCTGTACAGAAATAAGAGCCTCAAGTAGCGAAGGTTTACTCTGATTGGAACAAGCATAACAAGCTTTCTAATAGTAAACTCTCTTTTTATTAGTTGGTGCCAACCAATGGATACAAGCCTACATGTTGGCCTGGCTGGGTGAAGGTTTGCACGATTGCGAGGCAGTGCTGCCTAAAAGTCTTTTCTTGCTAAAATCGGCGTTGCTCCCTTACCCATACCAGTAGCGCTAAAGCAAACAGGTGTTTTCTAATTTCTTTCATTTTTCTTTTTGTTTTCTCTTCTCGAATGCACAGGCAACTGCAAATAGACCATACTCTGTAGTGCACAACCTTAGCGAAGTAATAGTTCGATTCGAAGACTGCAGACTTCTTGTAGTTCAGAGTCAAAGCAAGGACGGGGCAGTGGCTTGTCAAGCGCCGCCGCTTCGCAAATGATAGGTAAGGCCTTATTTGAAACAAGTCCCACAGTTGTTATGTAGTTGGAAATTGTTGGTTCTTCTACTTGTGGGGTCTTCATTACTTTACTATCTAACCAAGGTGAGAACCCGCGTAAGAGTGCAAGAGCCTATGTCTTATACTTCCCGGGTCTCCTTGGTCTACGCGAAATATATTCGTATCGATCGGTGTGGACCGGTGAGCAAGTGCAAATTATTGGAAATCACTGGTGCACAAACAGCCTAGTTGATAATCCCTTGAGATCTATCACTAGCTATACATAGCGTGTCCATAGCTAACCTTTCATGTTATAGTTAATTCCGTTCTGGAAATCCGACCAGTGCTGCCTCAAAGACGAGGGAACCGAACCCTCAGATATTGGCTCGGCCATGCGACATCCACGCCCAGCTTCCACGCTACTCGCAGAACCCACTCTGGCTCTCTTAAAAACTGCCTGCCGATGAACAGAAGATCTGCCGAGGGCTCTTTCCCATCTTTTGCATCCGTCACATCTTCAGCGTCCTTCGCTTCTTGAGATAGCAGTTTGTCTGCCTCAACAAGGTCTCGTGCCTGCTCTGCCTCCGTGATCATGCCAACGGCACCAATCAGGAGTTGCACGCCAGACTGTTTCAACTCCTTGCGAATTCGAGCGGCGATCTTTGTCTGGTAGTCCTTGGTTCGGAACGAGCTGACTGTCTGCGTCGGGTGATTGCCGCCACTGCTCACGTCAAGCAGGTCAACGCCAGCCTCTGGGAGAAGTTTTGCCAACCTGATCGTATCCTCCACGGTCCAGGTGCCGTACTTCTTACCAACCTCCGTGTCCTCCAGCCATTCAGTTGAGCTAACCCGGAGAAATAATGGCATCTCCGCAGGAATTTCCTTCCTAATCGAATCTATGATCTCCAGAAGCAAGCGCGCCCGGTTCTCAAAGCTACCCCCATAAGAATCTGTCCTATGGTTTGACACCGGACTCAAGAACTCGTTGATAAGATATCCATGCGCCGCGTGAATCTCAATAACATCTGCACCCGCCTGCACAGCCCTCTTCGCTGCCTTAGCCCAGTCGCCTACCAGCTGCTTGATCTCGTCATGAGTAAGAGCTCGGGGCGGCCAGTAGCCGCCTTCCTCCTGTAGACCAAGGCCATCCCATGTCTGCTCAATTCCCCCAGACGGCCCAACAACATCGTCCGGCCAGCCATACTGATCCTTCCCCACGCGCAAGCTTGCCTTCCTGTGCTCTGTGCTCCCTGCCACCCATGGAGCCGCTGTACTGGATTTACGCCCCGCATGCGCCAGCTGAATACCAGCCAGAGCGCCCTGAGATTTCACAAAATCAAAAACCCGCTTAAGACCCGGGATTTGCGCATCATCCCAGAGGCCTGGGCAATACGGTGAAATTCGGCCATTTGGCTGGACACCTGTCGCTTCGACAAAGACTAGGGCGGCACCCTTTAGCGCAAAGTGCCCGAGAGTTGCGATATGGTAGTCTGTCAATGCGCCAATAGAGGGGCCCTCGGGCGCAGTTGAGAATTGACACATAGGAGCCACGACTATGCGGTTGCGGAGCGTGACATCACGGATTTTGAGTGGAGTGAAGAGTGTAGGTGTCGAGGCATCGAGGGTAACAGGGGACCCAGGGGACTGGCGATGCTGGGGCGTGAAATAGCCAATGTTGGGTGCGGGCACATTGAGCCCTTGGAGGCCTGGGGGTGACACCATGTCTATTTCAGGATTCATTCCAATGAGGTTGAAATCGCAGCAACCTCAACACAGGAATTGGACTGTCGAAGGCCAACTCACTCTATACCTTAAGCTAGTGCTAGAGCCACTTTAGGGCTTCGGAAAACCAAGCCAAATGGAACCCTTTTAAAGGCCGGAAAAGAAATACTAAAGCCGAGGATGGGCAACTGGTCACTAAATTTGACAATTAGTAATGATTGGTAAGCAATCGCACAAAGTTATGCAATAATTATAACTGCCGGTCTCTCAACTTAAAGAAATTCTGGGACTATACGGAGTACTCATGGACCACCGACACGATTCAGGATAGAAGATTTTCTTGGGTCCACAAATACCGAGGTTCCTTGTTTGGAAACCGAGGTATGCCGAATTTATTGAACCAGCATGTAGAACTCTTAAGACTAACCCACCACCTACTTCCCGCATTGCCCAAAAAACGAGAGTGGCTATTCCGCAGGGAAATTTGCCAAACAAGATGAGGGCTTCTGGCGCGAAGGGTGGGAGATTGGACAATCTCCAGCAGTTCCTTGAGACACACCCCACATCTATTCAAGCCCTAGACCATTTTGCTGCCATTCCATGGATCAACAAGTTCCTGACCAACCCAGCCTACAAGGCAATTCCAACATATGGTCGTGTTCGAAAATCAGACAACACTGAGGACTGGTTCTTTGCCCAAACCACCAACAGCCCAACCACAATCCCACACTTCCTGACATTGCAACGAAAAGATTTCTGTCCGCTACCAGAAAGTCCAAGGGGGACAATATCTCTCAGCGCAGGCCCGCGGACGACACCGTACCGCGCCCCAGAATACCCAGATTGTATTACGTTCCTTGACTTAGGGTCTCCCGGGCTGGACGGACACTCTGGGATACTCCATGGTGGGATGGCCGGAGCTATTTTGGACGAGACTTTGGGTCTCACGGTCTCACTACACTTGGCCTCGCATCCTAAACGCGGGTTGTCAGGGATGACTGCAAGTTTACATGTTACCTACCGGGCACCGGTGTTGACACCGAGCACTGTGGTTGTTCGCACCTGGGTTGAGGTACGTGAGGGGCGCAAGTGGGTGTGTAGAGGGCAGATTGTGGATGGGGATGATGTGGTTCTGACGGAGGGAGAGGCTCTGTTCGTCACTGGAGTGCAGAGTGCTACCTTGTAAGAACGCCTTCTGCCTTTTGCATTATAGAGCATCTCGGGGCCCTGGTGGTCATAGATGTAAGGCCAATTTCCCATATCATTCGTATAACTCCTAGCATGTAATAAAATCCTGTCTTCTACTGTGGGTTGTCGTTGAGTTGAATGCATATGTTTCAACATACTAATGCCTGACTTCGGAAAACAGGGCAGACACGGGAGTTCAAGGTTGTTTTCATGATGCTCTTCTTGCATAAAGGCCAAGCTTGCTCTTTCGGTGTTCCGGATGCCGGACTACCTATACTTGCGAATTTTTCAAGATATCTCCTCTCCCGACCTGACCCGCTGCCTTACTTTATTTTAATGACCCTCTTTCTTTTTAGGCTCTCTAGGAGCGCAGATATCACACTTTTAATGTTGCAATTTTCATATAGTGGATTTACAATCATCTCACTGAGCTGGCAGCTTCAGTTGTAACGGTACAGGCATGAGCGGTATTGAATACCTTTTGGGAAGTGTACTTTGATACTTGGCGTCTCCGAGCCGCGAGTTATACATTCTTATATAGGCCCACTTCAATAGACCCAAGGATTCGCATGGCTTGCAAGACATATCGACAATATGGGGTCTACAATGGAAAGCTGGTGTCTGTGTTGAACAAGGACTATGTTGAACCCTCCGGGTTATGCCAATTAACATCACCATAGTGTGTCAGATATTTTGCCTTCTTCTTTACACCCTGAGCCTCTCTGTCAATCTCAGACAATCTATTTTGCTTAAAATGATAGAGGACCCCACAAACACTGCCTGTTTCAGAATGTAAAGGGGGTAATTGTAAAGGAGTCGGTTTATTTATTTTTTTTTGTTGAGACATTCTGCTTTATTACAGACATTCGGCAACTAGGAATGAAACCACATTATTTGTTTACTGGCACAAGCTGTCTGTTGAGTGAATCTAATGGTGGTCCATGCATTGTAACGTGCAGGCAAATCATTAAGGTAAGACGAGGGGTGGGTTTGTTCTTGCGCTCAGGTCTTTTCTTTACCGAAGACACCCAACATGGTTCCATGACGGTATACCAAACTTGATTCTTTATTTATAAGATCTATATCTTATAAGAGCTATAACATATCTTGGGATCCTAGCTTAGGTATAACTATTCTATTATAATTTAGAGGGATAAAAGTATTTAATAGTTACTCATACTATATTTATATAAACGATAGAAGAAGGGCTTGATAAAAATCTAGGAAAGGTCATGAATATTAAACCTTTAAGTAGTATTATATATATCTTCGAATGAAGTATATATAGAAGAAGGTAGTATTTTATATCAAGCAAAGTCGAATTTTGTAATATCCAGAGCCTGAAAACAATGCTTTCTTAAGACACCAATTACTACGGTGTTTCTCTGCGTAGCACAATTTCGAGGAAGCCTCAATGCCAGAGGGCGAGATCATGGACACAAAAAAGGATTGTCTAAACTCTAGATACGGGACGGTATTGAAAATTCTTAGCGGCAACTACAGGGTTTGCAAAAACCTATGTAACCCAGCATCCACAACTATATAAAGTCCCTTCATCCCACAACATCCAACCTCGATTGGATCTCGGTTCGCGCACCCCCAAAAGCTTCATCGTGCTGTTACATATTATCTCCACAAGATGGCGAACACACTCGAGGAATATGTCCGATTGGAGACCCTCTGGGACAAAGCAATCCAGTCTCCCGCGGACATTTCGCTTGAGGAAAAACACCAAATGCTGGAATGGCCGCCCCTCGCGGTGATGCAGGCCAACTCCCAAAAATATCTCGGTCAATCAGTCGAAGATTTATTCCGCAAAGCTGTCACAGACCCGCATTCTCTAACCTGTCCAGAATGCCTGCTAATCAAAGATGATTTTAACATTCTTGACCTCATGGACCAAACCAAGTATGAGAGAAATCGGTGGCAATGGATGCTGGGACGGCCCGATCTTCAAGCTAAAAGAGAGTAGGCTCTTGCTGCAGTTCTTTCACCGACAGAGTCCAAGGCTCTTCAAAATTTGGAAGACGTATCTTACCTTATTCAGAAAGCGCATTACAAGGCGAGGGAGGAGAAGCGCAGACACGGGAGGCCGAGGCATTTGCCGCAAGAATGGATCCAGAATGTTATCGATCAGGGAGAAGACAAAAGCTGGGGTTATGTATGGTATCATCGTAAGGGACAGAAAGGCTGGGAAGAATTCCAGCATCAATTTAGGGATATTCTGACAACACAGATGTTTGCGGTTGTCGGCTGGGACGAGATTGAAGATTCCAAAGTGGCCGAATTTGTCGAATTTGAAGCTGGAGACTCAGAAGAGCGAGAACTAGCTTTTCTCAGGGAGTAAGTCGGGTGCAAAACTACCATCTTTTTGATATGATGTTGACCTTATGATAAAGGGATTTCCGAAATCGCCGTAGCAGAGACGGGCTCTGGCCTGGAATTCTCTCGAATGTCTTTTTCCCGGTGGCGGATGAGGCTCGCGTATCGTATAGTCAATGGAGACAACACAGCTTTGCCTGGGCAATTGACCCGGATTGGTCTCGGTCGGTTGCCGATGAAGACGGTTACGATGGACGGCTGAAGATAAGTGCAACCCAAATCTACTTCCGTTTCTACGATTTATGTCGACAAAGAAATTGACGCTCGAGGACATCTGGCGTGACTTTCATGAAGTCAACAAAGCACAGACATACGTACCAGGGCCGCTTCCTGCTTGGCATTTCACAAACTTAGACAAACATGTATGGCCTGATTTTTGAATGGTCTTCGAAATATCGGTTTTTCCCAGGATTACATCCCGTAACCTGTTCCTATTGTCTTTATCTTTATAATTCTCCTAGGGCCATTGGTATTTTTCTCTATGGCAGACGGACTCCATAGTCTAACATATCCCGAAAATGGCTAACGGAAGCTTTTAAGGATTGTTGGAATAGAAATTAAGCTTGAATTTTGCATCCCGCCTTTCCAGAGTACTTACTCTTTACTCTTAGTGCGACTATTGGCTTCCCATTCTCTCCTTAGTCTGTTCTCTCGCAGTCTCAAGAGGATGATGGTAGTTGCATGTAAACAAATCCAGACTCATCGAAACAGACACAAACTGCGACTCTCTCTCGGAGACGTCTTAATCCACCAAGAACTGCCCAGCTAGGCGCAGTGTTTTGATCTGGAGCAGCGTTTTTTACCTGCTCCCACAAGCAGATCAGCTTCTCAATGCACCCGTTGACCCATATGCCAACCCATTCGGACAACCTTTCCACGGCATGACCCTTGAAATCTCCTCAGAGTACAGAAGCACTAAACTACCTTTGACCAAAGACATCGTTGACAGCTCTTTGGAAAGACTCCACTCGTACGTAAGGTAGCTGCGTTATATGTGTCTGTGGTGACGATTGACACCTTGGTGGTTCAGGTACTTGAACACGAGATAACCCTGGGGATGAACAAATAATGTCTGGAAAATACAAGGTGTAAAGAAGGATGTGACTACAGGAAGTATGTACCATTCGCAATTCTGTACAAATTCAACTTGCTATGACCTATTTAAGTTTTTTTGGTAATATAGAAGCTATATGTATGCACGAATAGGTTTCTTATAGGCATCTTATTCCCCAGGTACTTCCACTTTATTACCCACTAGAGCCAATTCCCCGCCGGGGCCAAAGCCATGAACCAGACCACAGATCCACTTTATTAAAAAGCCACGAGTCAATCAAAAGAACAACAGGCCTGACGTTGTGAAGTAGATCGAGTTGAATGGCCTTCGGCCTTGATCAAATGGGCCACTTCTCTATGATGTTGTTAACAGTATTCATTCAACGTTACCACCATCATATTCAACCAGACTGAGTGGCTCATCTTTAGTTAGGGTTTTTATCAGCGGCCCGGCTGATCCCCACAATTCAGGTTTATACTAAGTTAAGGTTTGTGGAAGCAGTTGCTTGGCGCACACAACATCTCGGAAGCATGGCATAAAACAAACCAAGTAATAATTGGATCTAGCAGACCCAGACTAATGTTTTCATGATGTCCCAAGAGTATTCCACTGATTTTAAACTGTCCTCGACTGGCCACAGTGTAAATAGTCAATGGCCTGCTATATGGTGGAAGCCTCTTAATGAAAAAGTTGTGGTCCTAAAGTCTATAGGGTTACAGTGGCCATACCCGGCTCCATTATCGAAACACCCATTTATCTGCTTGTGATTGTCATAGAAGAATTCCACCTTATTTTCGACATCTCTTTGTTTTATACCCTGAATACCATGATACAAGCCGTACACTCTAGATTAGAATGCGACTAGGCTCTACCTCGGTCTAAGCAGACAAAATTCCAGACGGGTTGGAACCATAGGGAGCTTTGATGTCTTGGTCACCGAAGTTCGGACCGATATCTGTCAATCATATCAAGATATTGGTGGTATAAGGTATTTGGTCAAACGCACAGTGGAATATTCGCTTCCTCTTTTTTTTCCTTTCCCTGGTGTTGTTGGTGAATATCTTGGTGTGACCCTCAAGATGAGCTACTAGATTAGATTGTATATTGCAAACAATCACACCATGTATACAGAGTAAGTGTCACGGATATTATTTTGGACGAGAAGTTTGAGATAAGTTTATATCACTATCTGAATGTTCAGTCATCAGTAAATGTCGGCATTACGATATCCGGATTTTCGAAAACAGCTTTCCAGTGCATCCGGACACCATCACAAAGTTCACTTTTAGACTTCCAGGTCTCAAAAGCCGACTCCATAGTGCATGTTACAGACATAGTCTCCTCCCAGAATCTCTGCTCAGCATCATACCCCAGCCGCCTCATAGCCTCGGGTGGATAAGTCCACAATCTCGTAGGATTTCCATCAAACCCACGCAGCTTCTCCCACAGTAATTCCTTTCCCGGGTCAAATTTCGGAGCACCGGCATGAATAAAGAAGACACCAGGTGGCTTCGCAACGGAAGGATCCCGGACTCGCCATTTCCCTTGGCTCGTCAGATTGTAGTCCTGAATCGGATCCGCTTGGACGTATCCTGCATTAATTGCGACCTGCGAATCCCAGGGAGTAACATTTCCGATATCCACAACAGTCTCACTAACGGCATAGAAGCTTTGATTGAGGGCAGTCGCGGCGTGAAGTAAGGTTTCTTTGTCGCCTGCGCCGGGTGCGCCCTGACTGAGTAGAGAGTAATAGCAGTTCGGTCCGTAGGAATTATAATACGCGGCGAGGAGTAAACTAGGAAAATGCGTTAGTTTGGAAACAAGCATTATCCCGGCTTCGGTGGCTTGTCGTGTTGTGGAAGATGGTTCAGGCTGACGGGAAATGTTGAAATATACTGGGGCGGCTGTATTGGCCCAGAAGTCTGGCCAGGTGACCAGGCCGGAAGATGTGAAAGGTTCAGATTCGAGTAGCACTGTTGGGCCATGGAGATGGACGCAGTCCGCATCTAGCCATATAAGCTTCTCAAATGAAGAAAACAGTACGGCGAAAGACTTGATCTGGAACCCCTCTATCGGTGGGATGCTCTCGGTCTGCCAGTATCTCAGAAAGCATCAAGGATTTTGCCCCCAGCTTGGGCAGAAATCACCTCGCAAATATGTACTTCATACTCCGTTTGATCCTTCATGAAGAGTCCTACTGGTAACATCGATCCAGTCCGACGCAGCAACGAAAGAGACACCACAAAAGTAGGCAAATATGAGCCTCCGGCCGATGACACTATGCCTACTGTTCCCGGAACAAAAGCATTCCCAACGTTCAAGTTGCGGGTAGCCTGAACAAAGCCATCGTGAGCAGCTTGCATGGGCTGTAAGAGTTCATCTACATTAGTGAGGAGGCTTCGACGAGGGGTCTCATGTATTGCGTCGAATCGTGGGAGGCCTGGGCTGCCGTTCTGGGTCGGTTCAGGACAGTCGGGTGCATATTTCTCTAATGCGGGATGTAAATGCTGCCAGAGGTGAGATTGCGTATCTTGCAAGGAAGCAACCAGATTCGAAGGCTCCTTATGCCAGACATAATATGCGCTAAAGAGGCAGAAGGTGGTGAGAAAAGCCGCAACGATGGTTCTGCGGCGGGCTAACATTCCGTCAAAGAAGCTGTGGCATGGGTAGAACGCAAGAGAGACGTGACCAGAAAGAGAGCAATTATAAGGAGGCTTAAGTGACAGGGGACATATTATGTCGCACACACTAAGGTTGGCTAACAAGGATCTACTCCGCTCCCCTTGGCTGATCGCCCGGCCCCTTTTTTGTTCCTGATAGGGCTCAGTCTGATACACTCGGAAGGAACACTACTATCCTAGTCGCTAGAGGTACTAGTTAGCACTGCTTCCACAGGGTTACGCGTCTATCAGGTATCATCATAATAACAGCCTGCTACTTTGCAATCAATAATTGCTGAACCCGACCCGACACGGTTTCCACCCATTTGGACTTCTGACTGTGTCCATATAGATCATAAGGAATATCTCCCGAGCTAGCCTTGTCAGAACATTTACTACTCCGGACCAAACTCAAGTCTATATCAACACTTCCTGAGGACGCTGTAGCGTAAGACGCGAGGGGCAGACTGGGGATGCCAGATAATCTAGAGTTAATCTCTTTTCTAGGGCGGTTTTGCCAGTTGGTTTTATGATTCCTCTATCTATGCCTATAAACCCCATGCCACAACGCAGTAGGGTCTGTGGCCACTTGTGTGTAACGAAAAGCCATGTAATGAAATCAACGCTTACAGCGTTCGCTGCCTATTTGATCTCCCTGCTCTAGAGCAAGCCGACTGTATAATCTGCCCCACGGTCTAGCGCGGAGGGGGCACCTGTGCTACGGCAAGATGTTGAGATGTGCGGGTTGACGGTGCGTCGCAAGGCATTCTACCCTAGACCTATCTGGGCCTAACATGTCTACCATATAAGAAATATAGTCCGCCAAACATCAATGAGCTTCTCTGGGCCGGTGGACCATTTCTAACTACGGATATAATTTGTTTTGTTGGGTATGCCTGCGGGACGCTAACTCCATGTATGCGGGCCACACCTCTGAAGTTACCCTAACTCACAGATTTACATATAGAATCTGGGGACCTGTGAAATTGACGCCGAAAATAACTGCTTTTGAGGCTAAAAACACCTGCCTTTCCACCTATAGGCTATAATATGATTCTGACACATATGGGCTGGGAAAATAGAACCGACGATGTATCTTTTCAGTAAGGGGAAACCTGCTCCAGGGCAAGTCCAGTCTCAATCATCACTTCACAAGCTTGTCCAAATGCATTTTAAGGGGTCTCAATAGTAGCATTCGATATCTACCACTAACTGAGGAAAGGGGGCCCTCCATCCTTCTCTTTCTACTGTTCCCTCCCCCTCTTGCCAAGTCTTCTCATAAGCCTGTTCTCCATCCTCGGGAGGAAATTCTACAGCTCCTCATGGCCAGCTGCCGGCTTGTTCGGCTTCGGCTTCTCCAACGTACCATCTTCATTGATACATGGCACCTTTTCCACAATCAATGGCTGACAGTACCGGGGGTTGGCTTTGAACCCAATACCCGGGTTCGCAGCGGGACATATCGGGACCAGAACCTTCACGTCGCCCCGTAGACAAATGCCACAGGTATCACCACACCACGGCCGCGCCGAAAAGCGTACCGCACTGGCTGCATTGTCCGACGTCGCAAAGCGCCACAGTGCCCCGGATACCATCCAGAACAGCTTACCGGTGGAGTCACCCGTCGTACCGAGCTGGTCGTTGATCACGAAGGTGTCGCTTGCGGCCAGCTCGCTGCCCTTGGAACAGTCAGCGGTTGCCTTGCAGATGCGGAATTGGTAGACGTCACCATAGTAGCCACCCCAGACATAGTCATTGCCGGTATGTCGTCGGGCGAGGGCTTTGCCTTCGGGGTTCTTGAGCCGGTAACATCAGCCATATTCGAGGCCGAGGGTGTCTCCGTTGGGGTCGGGGCAAATACTTTCAGCACAGTTGGTATTCACAGTGGGTTTGGCCGCGTTGTTGCCGTTGCCAGTGTTGGGTCCTTGCCCACAGTTGTTATTGTTGCCCTGGCATTGAGACACGCAGCCAGGAGGGCACTTGCCATTGCCGTTGAGGTTGTTTCCCCCATTGCCTCCATTGCCTCCTCCTCCTCCGCCACATTTCCCAGGACAAGGACTCGGCTTCGGCGGATCCAAGCACATATCCCCATCAAACCCTACCGACGCAGCCGGGCAGCACGACCCGCGCCCTGACTTCTCATCGAAGAAATACACATGCCGATCTTGCTCACACTAATCTATCCGGTTGCAGCATGGACCAGTATCAACGTCACCAGTACCAGCCGAGCTGGTCGTCCTAACTTCGCGAGTGGTATTCCACCAGCACAGATCCTCAGCTTGAACATAGCGGAGAAGTATACCCCGATCTATATTCTTAACCCGCTCCGAATGAAACCCGGCCGGGCCCCATAGTTCAAGAGGCAACCCTGTGGGTTCTTCCGATGATAGTGCAAGTCTGTAACGTAAGTAGGAATGAAATTGGTCTAGTTTAAGAGGTAATCTTATAGGTCCTTTGAACTTTCTATGCTACTGCACCGTAAGTAGGAATGCCGAGCACGATCTGCTAAAGGATTAGTAGTTCATGAAGGGGCCCCCGAAGGACAGGGCGCCTCTGGTGGGCTGATAGTCAGCAAGTGAGATCTGCATAGCAGCTCTCCGAGACCCACTTCTCGTTTATTTAGAGCTAACGACTCCAATCGTTTGGACGTCACATTTCTCAACCATTGCAGGTCCCTGGATCGTACGTGCCCTGGACAGGAAAGTTGTCCAGAGATCTCTGCGAAACTCCCTCATCAAATTGTCATACTCGATGGTCGAATGGATCCGGCTAAGGATTGCATCAATGGAAGATGCTCTGCCTTTCCGCGTTGTCTCGTTTTATTTTTTTTGCTATCGGTTTCCGAGTAAGTACTTACCCTGACTCATGCATATACTATACAAAGCTATTATCTACGTAGGAGACGGTGGTTAGGGGGCGTTTTCTTGAAGCAATAGTTAATAAAATCGAATTTCCCATACCACGTAGAATATTTAGGTAAATAAACAAACTGTATATTCACAAAATCGGTCTGCTGAATCAAGTTTATATTAGATGTGTTGTACCAAAAGAGAAAGATATCCCCACTCCATCACCATCCGCAATAATATACTCCAAGTATCCGTGCACGGTCTCGGCTACCCTCTAACTGGATACGTACTTGGACTTGGTGCGCAAAAGGACCGAGAGTTTTACCAAGCTCCACAGCCCACTACAGTATTTCAGCTCGCCATTATACCTATAGTTCTACTAAAAACGGACGATGATCCTCACCAGATGATGACACACATCATCTAACTGCCGGTATATGCCGGGTATAGATAAATCTACTATATAATAAAACAGGGGGAAATGTTATCAGCTCTATAGCCGGCTATGTCAAGCCGGCTAAAGAAACCTGGAAGTACAGACAAGATAAGGACGCAGCCGCGCTTTTCGAGTGAAAGAAAAAAAGTTTTGAGAGAGGCTGAGTGAAGGCTAGATAGACAGATAAAACGATTAGCCCCGACCGAGTGAGTATAGAATATAGAAGGTAGAGTTAGGAAGGAAGAAGAAATTAGGGGGAAAGTGCTTAGAATAACGAGGGGAGAATTATTATATATACTCGGGAGGACAAGAGCGGTAATTACAGTATCAGAAATTGGGTGACTATACCAAAAGCAGCAAAAGCAGCAAAAGCTAACTGAAACAGGTCCATTTTCAGGTTACAAGACCAATCCTTACCCATTAGTATCTGGCAACCGTTTCTCTTCTCCTAGCAGTTCATCACTTCAGTACTAGCTAGCTACAGGTATCTAGTGCTGTCCTCCCCATCCTCAGACAACTTCCTAATCTCCTCGACCAGATTCTCAACAACACCACGACCAGGCGGGCACTTCCATTCATAGTTGTCCCGGCTGCACCACACGTTATCGTCCACACGAACAGTGCAACTTGCATTTGCATTCACAGCAACGCTACGCTCAACGCTGCTAATCAAAAGCTCCAGGCCTTCTTCACGGTTCGCACAATCACTGATTTGCTGATAATCAATGTTATGCTCCTGCGCACACTCCTTGATCAATCCCTCGTCCGGAACCCGCTCATAGTCCGATAGCACGCAGGTATTGAAATCCAGGGCATCGCCGATAGAGTCTGCGTGTTTCTCAGAACAAACGAGCAACTTGTTGCCTTTACATTCGTTCATGCCGTGTTGGCAGGTTACCTCTCTTCTTGGTTTTTCCCAGACTCTAATGATTGGGGGGTTAGGATTACGGAAGTGTACTCTGGCCGGGGGTAAAAGGGCCTGTTGATGATTGTCGTTTGGGGCTTTGACTCACTCTCCGACGTAGCTAATTCTAAAATCCACCTTATCCTCCACTTGCCAATATGCAGGGGCTACGAGCTTCTGTAAACAGTCCCGGGCGTCGGGGCATCGGCTCTCGATGTGTACTTCGAAGGGAACTTTGCGTGTCGCGGCGTAGGAGCTTCCGTGGGTGTACCCAGTTTGTCTGGCATCGGCGAAGCCGAAAGAAGAAAAGCAGATCCCGGCTAATACAAGGCATGGGGCAATGACACAGTATTGGAGCAACGAGTGCAGCCTGGACACCTGAGTCTGGGAGTGTGTGGGACTCGATGTGATTGAGCTTTCATTCGACTGCTTCTCCATTGTGAACGCTATCTGACTTAAAGAAACGAGAGGAAGAGTAGAATGAAAGAGAGTCAGCTCTTGTACTCGACTTCAGTGACGCTAGACTGTGCTCCTTCTGACGAAACTTATGCAGAAGGGTTGATATGGCAGTGAAGGAAAGAATTGTATCATTCCGGTCTGCCCAACCTACATTCCTCTCGGCCCGCTTTTCCGCGAAGAATGCTATCCATATTGTCACAGATGGCTGGAGAATCTTTACGGCACATTCAATTGAGATCTCTCAGAAGTATTGACTATACAGCACCGTATTGAGACATTTGAGCATATCACGAACGTTGATAATTCTTCCAAATTGGCCACTCAGACCAAAGTCATAGGTCGGAGTTGAAGGCACATCTTTGAGCATCTTGTTTGCTAGACCCTATGATATCTTGTCGCTTTTGATCCACATCCCAAATCCTTGTATGGGTGAAACTAATTCTCCTGGTGGTCAGTCGGCAGTCATCTTGATGATTTTCAAGCGATATCTATCGATAGCTTCGAAATCTTTGGAATAGAACGATCCTCAGTGGGTGTCTCTTCCATAGTTCGATTTGAGTTCTGGGTTCAGAAAGCCTTGTGGATAGTTGTTATGCCCATGAGAAGGCTGAACGTTATATCAGAGGCTTCACTTCCAGCATGGTATAATAGGAACTGATTTGGAATCAGCCACACTTTTTTTTCTAATAGGCTGGTTATGTTATTCCAATCATCTCCACGGAATCTACCGCGTTGGTCAATATATTCGAGCACCATGAGTGAAATCGAGCCATCGACCAGTGCTTCCTTTCTCGAACCAAAGCTTAGAATTTCCGATAAGGTGGTCAAGGTATGTACAATAACATGGTCCAGATCTCGTTCGCCAAACATCCCGTGACGGTGTACGAGCAACTACTACTACTACTACTACTACTACTACTACTACTACTAGTGGTGTATTTACAAAGAGCTTTGGCTAGTGATATCTCACACACCTGAACCCACTATATACATGGAGATCTCAAGGATTTGGGAGCCTGATCTATAGGGTTTCTAGGATTGATAGTGTTGGCCTCATACTGTATATAGTTGTGGATAACGGGTAAGTGAATATCTACGTATTATATACATACTGTTGTTAGTTGGTTGGGCAGCATAGTTTAGCTCTCAAACGGGGTGTACCTTTAATATACCCTCTCGTAAGCCATACTACTGAGTTATTTGGTAAGGTGGTTATCGATACTATTGTTATATATCTCGCGTTCCGGATGGACTCTGCGCATATCGGTATTATTCATAAAGGAGGAAAAGCATTATTTACAGCAATCAACTCACGTTCAACAGCTAAAGATTATGCATAATTTCAGCATCAATCCCTGTCTTCACTGGCCGTATTTGCCTTATCACTTTCTGTTGGCATACTCGTCCTGTGTACGATTCGTACCCATCGTCGTCTTCTCCATTCCCCCATTACTGATGGTCCAGTACCTCCCTTCTCCTCATAATCCTGAGACACCCGTCCCTTTCCTTTCCGTTTTACCTTCTTGATTTCTCCCTTTGCGGATGATTTCAAGTCGGAGTCAAACTCCTCATAACCTAAGGCAGCATTTACCCCGCTACTATCCCGGTATGAAGCAGCAGATGGGAGGTCCCAAACCCAGCCCCCAATTTCGTCATTAGCCGCGCTTTCCTCGGAGACACTTTCTGAAACTTCAAAGCCGACACCTGTAATCATTCGTTCAACGACCCACTCACGGCAATCTAGGTCAAGTTCCCACTTCTTGCTTTTCCAAGCCCAGCCAGAAGGCGGCTGAACATCCTCGAAGAACCGACAGCCTTTGGGGCGGTCTCCAGCAATACGCAATGGGGACAGTGGGTCATATGGCATGGGGCTGAAAATGAAGTGGTCCCACTGTGAGTCGGAATAAGGGGCCAGAGAGCGATATTGGATTTCGAAGATCTCCACCTCACGTTCTTCGGGATACGTGTCGAGGGAGATATCCGCTAATGACCTTAATGAAGACATGGTTGCGGAGGGAGAAGATGGCAGGGATACCCCTAGGAAGTCCATTGTATCCTTCTTGCCATTGTTAGGCTTTGTGGGAGATTTCCCAGCCGGTTCATTCGCAAGGTCGCCTGCAATATTTTGGAATAGCTCCTGAAGGCTGGGGTGGCTGGACAGAATGGCAGCATTGCCACCCACAAGGAGTATATACCTCCACGGAAGGAGGTGCGCAGTCAGGAACAGCAGAGCTGTAATGATTGTACAGACCAGAAAGACGACTGACGACACCTTTTCGTTGGAGAAGTTTGTTAGAGGTGCGAATACAGAAACCGTTGCGTCGTGTACGTCAGAGAAATCGGCCATGCAGTTCTGCAAGTCCCGCATATTCCGAAAGAAATCCTTAGATGTCTCTGGTGCCGGCTTGATGGTCTTAGCTGGTGCAAGTGCTGGACCTTGATATGAATAATAAGGAGTGATACTGGATGTTGATGTTGATGGAGGTGGAGGATGGCGTGCCAGGAAGGCGGGGACCATCACAAACAGTAAGATAGAAGCGATGGGTATAATTACGAGGAGATGAGGGTCTAGGCAGACAAAAGAGTAGACGAAGAGAAAAGAGAAAGTATGGGAAGACTTTCTCCAGGTGAGCAAACGCTCCACGCGCGTTTGAAACGAGAATACAATCCCAATTCTACCAATTATTTCAGTCTGTGCTCGTGTCCAGACCACGCGCCCGGATTCATGATACATACCTTGCATTGAATCTGCGGAAGTTATTAGCCATCAGGGGCAGACTGAAGGCCGGCCGTTTGGGGTCCACAGGCCGCTTGTCGCCCACGACCACAGAGTCGTCGTTGACATCTTCTGCTGGGATTACTTGCTGCAAGAGTCTTTTTACGAGTCAGCGAAAAAAGCCCGTACAGATCAGAAGCTCAAGAAGATCCAGTGAGGGCATACTTGGCGAAGAGTTTGTCTTGCAAGGACCGACCAGCACCCGAGGCGGATCGCTGATGTCCAGTAGAAGGTTTAGAATCTCTTGAATCATCCCTTTGTTTCCCCACGGAGATTACAGGGACAGGCTCGTCGCGGTTGACGATAGCGTCCGGAGTATATTCTTCTTCCATGACAGATTCAACTACCAGAGGAGATCGATAGTAAGCAAAGACATTTCCGACAGCGGACAATAGCAGTAGATGAAAGCCGCTCGGCTGTTTGCAAGCGGAAGCACATGCATCACATTACTAGAAGGCGGAGAGCCGAGTTCGTATCAGCGCCTCTGTTGAACATTAGCTTATCGGGGGTGGGTATGATCATGACAATACCAACCTCACGGTTATTTTACCAACGGGATACTGCCTTGGTATTGCCCGGTATGTATTAAACTACGTGGGTTGGTAACGGGCAGCCTTACCTTGGGTAGACCTTAGGTAATACTAATATAACCTTAGTGAACCAACACTCAACATTGTTTGTGCTGTTTGCAGGCATGCAACTGGGTCACTCTTGCAGCGAAAAGGAGTAGGGGGTTTTTGGCGATGGTTGTTTAGAGGTTAATCCTTAGTTGGGGCTTGTTATGTTTACAGGTAATTTCTTCCAGGACTCCACCAGGATTTCAACTTCTCTTCTTTCTATTCTTTTTTTGCTATTTTCCTAATAATTGTCTTTATTCTTTTTGCACCTGGCAGGTCCTGGCAGGTTTCAAGCTGAGGAATAATTATTTAGATTTGTTGATTAAAGAAATTGTTTCTTGGCTCCTTCCATCTCGTTGCTTTGTTCTACCGGTTGCTTATATACGAACCCGTAACTTTCTTTCCCTACCGCCAAAAAGTCCATCACAACTGCTGCCCCAGGCAGATTCATCGACATCGCTGCCGCGCCGATATTTATTCTTTCAGGAGAACTTGGAACGAGATTGGGCAGCGATCAACTTTTTTCCCCGAAGGTCTTTTTCCACTTCGGATTCCCCCTCTATACTCTGGAACAGAGACTGCTGTTCTTGACCCCCGCAATGGACCGCTAACCACCGTTGATGGGTCGCGCGACATTGTTGGTCAAGGCACTCCTTTGTTTGAGAGACAGAGAAGTCGTTTACTCCAAAATCCCATAGCGATTGGGATTCCACATCGAATTTATCGCCATTCAGCCACCAGTTTCTTGCCCTAAGGGCATCCCTATCACGTTCGGGGTCGACACAGTCGGGAGAGTCTGAGGATGCCGGAAAAGCTGCCGGCCCAGCCATATTTAGGGAAGGGGCAGTCGCGTAAGGTTCAATCGAGGTCGTCGAGTCCATCTCGAAATGAAGACTCAGGCTCAGGAGGTAAGATCACCCGGCGCGATGGAAATATTCTCATTGCAGCTGGCCACTAACGTCTTTTCGTTGTACTGCAGCAGAAGGCCCCCCACGCAGACGGTTGCAAAAACACGCCTCAACACCATTTCTCTCAGAAGCATCCTATTCGTCAACCGAAGCAAGGGTATCAAACCCAAATGTGACAAGCAGGAGGAGGTTCTCTATTCGTGATCAGAAGGTACCGCAAGGCCCGCGACCGCAGGAGCCTGCCCGAAGAAGGTAGACGGAGCTTTCTCTCTTCATTTTCCCCATTCGCTTTCGTGCCCTTGCTACTTCCCCAAACGCATCCCCGCCAGGCCCAATGCTCTGGATTATTGGTATGTTGGATGATTCTGATCCATATCGTTATAGCAATCAACCCGGGTCGTTCTTCCACTCCGTTAACTCGTCAATCGATTCCATGAATGATTCGACAGAGAGTAACAATCTCCCTGCTAGCCTGCGATCCACCAGCATGGGCAATCTCTTGAAAACAGACCTTAACCAGACTCCACCCGAAAACGCAGAATTCCTCACGCCCGTCAATTTCGACGACTTCCACAACAGCATAATGACGGAATCAAGTCTCAATCAGTTTCCCTTGCCCCGAAACGGGGGCACTGCTTCAGGCCTTCCTCCAATTAATTACGCCCCGAATAAGAGTGACGAGAACGGGATGTCTAGACGGTTGAGGAGCAACTCTATTAGGAGGAAAAGTGTGACCATTAACAACCCTCCGAGCGACTCGGTGCCCTCCCGACCGCCGACATTGGCTACAGCTGCTCGGAGTCGTCGTCCAAGTCTCGCCCAACCGTCAAATGCAAACAACGCTGCTCCACGAACTTCGCGTAAATCCATAGGACAAGGTTCGATTCCCTCTGCGAGGCGACAAAGTTTGTCGAGTAGGAAAGCTAGTGCCGACGCAAGCCACAACTTTCTCCATCCACGCACGCAAAATCTGGAATCCATGCCAAATGATGCAACGAGACTGCCAACCAGTGCGCGAAATATCAAAGCTAAATCCCTACAGCCTCCGTCGAGGGAACCTCGCGAAGCCTTTCTGACGACCTCTGGATCTGCGGATCATTCCAGATCTTCGTCAACCAATGCCGTCCGAACGCCAGTCAAGAATGCACAAGCACCGCTTACGACCCCATCTTCTACATCAAAGAGGGTTTCTGTAATGCCTCCGCACGCGACAGGCCTAGGGGCTCGTACCATAAGTCCGACGGATGCACGACGGCTGAAGCGTATGTCCACGGCACCTCAGGCGCCTCCTTTGCCTTATACACCTCCGACTCAGACCGATTCATTACCTGTCCGTCCTCGCTCATGCGCCCCGTCGCCGTGTTATATTCCTCGGAAGAGTGTGACTCCTTCCTCCAACAGAACTACCCCTGATCCATCCCGTAAATTATATAGCTCTGGATTATCTTTGTCGTCGGCCACGAGCCATAACTCGGCAAGAAACTCCGGAGGATCATTACAAACCCGGCTTGCTCAGGCTGCATCGTCTTCCAGGCTCCCTACACCTAAACCTCGTGTAGAGCACGCTGTGGCAGCAGACGAGGAAGTACCTCCTGTTCCTGCTATTCCTAAAGCCTACGAGTCTCCAAAGGGGGAGGCCGAGCAACCAAATTGTACAGCTCCTCGCAAATCGCACATTCCGGTGGATATTGCTGTTTTGAAGGGCAAGTCGGACACAGAGTCGGACACAAACCCTGCAGCTAGTGCAACTGAAGACGATACAATGGATCTACGTACCAAACGAGCGTTGAAGACTCCAGAAGCCAAGCACAAGCCAACCGCTAGCTTAGGCAAAAGGAACCTTCAGCCACTGAAATTGCCGCCATTGAATTTGTTACCTTTGGGTACACCAATGACTAACAAGATCCAAGCCATGAAAGACCGAGAGGACGATGCGAAATCACATACGCCAACGGGTCAGGTTGTCGCGAAGACTCCGAGTACCCCTCTTACTGCCTCGAAAGCTAACTTCTTCACTGTCGAAGACGACGCTGTACCACGCACACAAGCGAGGAGCAGCACTGCACATTTTGTTGTGAGTACGTCCTCGGGTGCTACATTGAGGACAGCCAGCAGCTCCAGCGCATTAGCATCTTTCGAAAACACTCCAGGTGGGCAAAGGACAAATTCGCCTTATGTTTCGTACTCGCTTCCGAAGAGCAATAGTGATGTCAATAATCTCCGCCAAAAGGCTAGTGCGGATTACTCTTCCAGAGTGTCACAGTCTCACAAGTTGACGGGTCCACGCCCTCAAACCCAATCATCTGCTTTCTCTTCCAATGCAGAGACGATCAGCCAAATTTCTACCCCGTCTGATCCCGACAACAACAGCACTTCTGGGTCCTCTCTCAGAAATAAGATTACAATAACCCGCCACAGGAGCAATTCCCGGCCTCAACAGGTAACGGACGCAAACACAGACCCCACTAAGCTCGAACCCATGCCGCCACCTAGGCTTCCGGCGTCTGCAACCTGGAATAATCTATCAACGGCGAAGAACACAAGTCCCACGCTGAAACCAAGCTATTTTAAGTCAAAGCGACAAGTCTCTGTGTCCAACGCAGCAGATTCACCAATACGGAAACCCAGTTTCAGCAGCGAACAGAGTCTTGCTTTAGAGCACAGCATCTCTAACGAGTCGCGTCATAGTGATGTCTCATCCCACCGTTCTGCATCATCAATCCTCTCCCCTGTACACAGGATCCTCAACTCTGCGAAGTCGAACGCTGCCGCTAACTCCGCAACTTCCGATCCAAACATCGACCCCGATATTCAGGTTGCTGACGATGAGATGCGGAAACTTAATGGCAGGCGAAAGGATTTCGAAAGCGCGGCGAAGGAGTTAGATGAACTGCGCCGCAAAGCTGGGCCAAAGGAGCGTGTCAGCCCAGCTCAGGCTCTCAAAATGGCGAATCTCAATATCTTTGAGCGTGGTGAAATTATTGACTTTAAAGATATCTTTTTCTGCGGGACTCAACATGCAAAGAAACATGTCGGTGATTTGAATGCACAGGCCGCGAATTTTGGCTACGATGATGATCGGGGTGATTACAATATTGTCATTGGGGATCACTTAGCCTACCGATACGAAGTCATCGACGTTTTGGGTAAGGGAAGCTTTGGTCAAGTTTTGAGATGTGTTGATCACAAAACGGGCGGGTTAGTCGCTGTAAAAATCATCCGCAACAAGAAGAGATTCCACCAGCAAGCCTTAATTGAGGTTAATCTGCTTCAAAAGCTCAAGGAGTGGGATCCTCATCGTCGGCACAGCGTGGTCAATTTCACACAAAGCTTCTACTTCAGGGGTCACCTCTGCATATCTACGGAGCTGCTCGGGATGAATTTATATGAGTTCATAAAAGCACACGACTTCAAAGGCTTCTCTGTCAAGCTCATTCGCCGTTTTACGAAACAGATTTTGAGTACATTGGTCCTTCTCCACACGAAGAAAGTCATCCACTGCGATCTCAAACCGGAGAACATTCTCCTTGTACACCCAATGAGTTCCGAGATCAGAGTGATCGACTTTGGCTCTAGCTGTTTTGAGAACGAGAAGGTGTACACCTATATCCAGAGTCGCTTTTATCGCTCACCAGAAGTCATTCTTGGCATGTCATACGGCATGCCCATTGACATGTGGAGTCTGGGATGTATTCTAGCTGAGTTGTACACGGGATATCCCATCTTCCCGGGAGAGAATGAACAAGAGCAACTTGCCTGTATCATGGAGGTTTTCGGCCCTCCAGAGAAACACTTGATTGAGAAGAGTACACGGAAGAAGCTCTTCTTTGATTCCTTGGGCAAACCGAGATTAACGGTCTCCTCAAAAGGTCGACGTCGGCGTCCAAGTTCGAAGGAGCTCAGGCAGGTCCTGAAATGCGACGACGAGGCTTTCCTCGACTTCATCTCCCGCTGCCTTCGTTGGGACCCGTCTCGCCGTCTTAGCCCGCATGATGCTCTCAGACATGAATTCCTAACAGGGCTCAAAATGCCCTCGCGGCCCAGGACATATACAGCGAGCCTGAATTCCCCAGCCAAGCGAGGGAATACTCTATCAACCCCGTCGTCAGGTCGCCCTCTTCCAGAACCACCTGGCACGACTCTCAAGCATGGCACCTTTCTTCGTAGCCGAGATGTCTCAGGTAGCTCTCCCGTCAAGCCGATAGCCGGAAAGCGCCACTCAACTGTGAGTGGTGTACAACCGTCCACCCCCAAACGAAGTACCACTACTTCTACAACGACTCCTGGGTCAGCATTGCCTCGCGTTGCTGGTAGGAGCATCAGTGGAAAACCAGACCTTGCAACAGCGGCGGCAGCGACCAGCCTGGTGAGTTAAATACTCTACCAAAATCAGCGTATGGACTGCTAACCTTCATTAGAGAACTAAGTAAGGCCGAGTGCTCACTTCCTATTCTTCTTTTTCGTTTGTCTGTTTCCTTTTGCTCTTCTTTTCATTGCATCTTTGTAATAATAATTGTTTGACTTTTTAAGTTGCATAAAGAGGTCGGGAATGTTTGCGGTTTTGTACCCCTTTGATGATTCAAACTGCGCCGATAGAGGTGGACGAGGAAAGAGTTCATCTTATACCCTTGAGCATTTGCATGCTTTTACACGATGCCTTCGTTTTGTCTCCTTCTTTGAGCATACTGTTTGCAATTCTGTTACGACCTCAGAAGCCAGCTTATTGCTCCATATTGCATGTCTAACCCCTCGTCGCTCGCTGACTATAATTTCCTCTTGGATCTTATCACTACTTTTCATTTTTCCTTTTTTTTTTTTTTTTTTTTTT